AATACTGTAATATCTGCAGATTTGAGCAGAGGAATAGAGAAACTGGGTGAGGACACTGACATGACATTCAGAGCCTGCTTGAAAATGAATAAATTCGCTAAGTGTCTGATATGGAAGGGAAAAAGAGGAAAAATAAACCTCTGAGAATAAAGATAGAAAGTGCCATTTTGGCAGACCCAAAATGTAAACAAAAACTAATGAAACAAATAAACAAAAAACTTAATCCTGAAATAACATTTTTGATAAGCTTTTTGTTTTTCAGAAATAAAGAACAAATAATTATAACAGAGAGAACATTAGATGACATCATATTATATTTTGCAAAAGGGTTAAATGGTGCCTGGAAGAGAGCAAGAAGTTACTTTTGGCCCCCTCCTCAGATGTGGCAGATCATTTCATCTTGTCCCTTTCTCCTCCATTCTTCTTTCCCTCTTCTTTTCTAATGTCTAAAATATTCAGTGAGGGAAGGTGACATGCCATAAACGGGTAAAGAAAAGTTTCCTTTCATTTTTCTTACTTCAGTCCCTAAGGACAAACATATAATATGGATGCTGAAAAAAAATCTCAGCCTAAACGATAAATACATCATCTTAGTTCAACCGAATAGAAGATTTAATGTTAATGAATAACCCCTCGCATTTGCAGAAGGGCTGTGCTCTATAAAGTACCCTCATATGTATTATCCTTTTGTTTTTTCCCAGACATCATGCAAGGTGGGCAGTTTCTTTCTTTCTATTCTTTTTTTTTTTTTTCCAATAAAGAAAGAAGCTCAAAGGTGGCAAGTGAATTGCTCAACATCATTCTGAGTCAGATCCTAGACTGAGAATCTGGGTCCTTTCTCTTTTCCACTATCACTACTGCCTCGATAAGATTTCACCACTGAGCAATTTCACTAAGACAGATATGAGTTCTAAAGAAGTAATTATTTTGCGATTTTCATGGCAGATATCAAGCTTTGTATTTTCATATTTAATGAAAATTTTAAATATGTAGATATTGAGTACTATTGATTAAAGGGAGGTATATAAGAAGTAAAAATAGATCCATAAGGCAAAATAGTTTCATTAACATTGAATTATTTTAAAAACTTAATTCTAACAGAAAAACAATTCTGTATAAATTTTAAAAATGAATTGTATTTTATCTACTCAATTATTGGCCCAAGAATATTACTGAGCACCTACCATGTTCTAAACAATGCATGGGTACTACTGGGCATATAGGAAAGAACAAACCCTCTGTCTGTGCCTTCATAATGTCCCACCAAGCAGTTGAGATAGACATATAGCAAAGAATTATTATATGCCTTAATGCAGGGACTGTAGGAATCTAGCCTAGCAGGGTCAGGAAAGCTTTCTTTAAGACAAGACAATTAAGGTAAAATAAAATAAGAAAACAAGAGGATACGCTTAAGCAAAAAGGATGAGAGGATGTAGCACAATGCAAAAGCATTTGAGGAAGAAGGTTAATTTGGAATTTAATGGGGTAGAGGTGATCACCCATGGAGACAGTTTAGGGTGTGAAAAGAGGCCACGGATCATGGAACTCCAATATTTATTGCAGTTGGTCAGGTAAAAAAGAAAGAACCTGAAAGGTTTTATGGCTTACTACATATTTTATTTTGCACTGAATTCTCTGTTCCTTAAACCAGGGTTCAAAATGGCATTGAGTATACCTTTTATTTTCTGAAATGTTGTATTCACATAAAATACAAAAACTGAACATCCTTAGACACCTTCTCTTTACCAGCTCTTTTCACCTACATTGTCTCACTTAATCTCAAAACAACCTTAACCAAATGAGACACTGTCTGCTTCTCACTGAGGCTTAAAAAGATTATTCCTTTCCAAATATCCAGGATGGCAGAACCAGAATATTTTAGAATCTGTATTCCATTGCAGCTTCCAAGACACCCCACAGTGGCCTTGTTAACTAAAAAATCCTATTAATCCATCAAATGTTTATTAAGATCATGCTGAGTGTCACTGAACAAGATAGATAAGATCTGTGTCTTCATGGAATGTACATTCTACTAATAAACAGAATAATGTCATGAGTAGGGAGTTTTTGTTTGTTTGTTTCTTAAGAGTTCTCATTTACTTCAGAGAAAAAAAAAACTTTCATATTCAAAAGAATGAAATGAAGTACTCACATTTGGACTCCATTTCTCCGGTTGTCTGGTGTTTCCTGTGTCCACTTTCACTGTTATTCAGATGGTCTGGTGCTCTTTCTCCCTTATGGCCATGGGCACTGTAAGCAAAGGCACGGCCAGGAAAAAGATGTCAATACTTTGTACAGAATTGGTTGATTAGGATGGTTCCTTCATCACACACTCACCTAGAGGTTTTGCAACATGCTATCATGTTTTGGGTCATAGCTACAGGGGATTCCAAAGACTGTTACTGCTAACACCCAAAGTTATATTCCATCATGTTCAACTAAAGGCATTCGAGAGAGAGAAAAAAAAAAACTTTTTAAAAGCTAGTGTTTGCAAAACCTCTCTGTACTAGGAGCAAGAGTGTCCCTAGGGTGAAAGTTGGTGGAATAAATCCAGCTAGTCTTCTGATTTCAAGCCCATGCTTTGTATTAAAAGGGGACTTAGTGACCTGGAAGAATAATTGTACCTTTCAAAACACCTGTTTCTTATCCTTCTGTTAGGAGAAAGGGTGTAGTTGGCAACCATCCTCCCAATCAAATCCTGTAAATAAACTGGCCCATTTCTTCTCTGCCGTGTTCCAGAAGTTAGTAGACACCTGGGGAAAAGAAATGTAATACACGCAAGTCAGGCTAATGCAAAATTGAAAAATAAACCCCGAAACTACTAGAAAGGAACACCAACTGTTTGGCAATGCCCCCTCTGCTACTGTGGATGCACAGCAACCTCCAAACCTGGAAATGATTCATTTATCTTTTCCAGGAAGGGCGGGGTAGGATGGAAGTAGCTCATATTCCTAGATTCTGAAGGACATGAAACTACAATACATTGGATAGATTACATGGAAAGAAATTTCACAGGAAAGAGCGGAGAAAGAAAGACCATGAAGTAGAAAGGGAACAGATAAAGAAATGGGAAGCAGTGTGGAAAGAGGCAAAAAGCATGTCATTAAAGGAGCTGCAGAAATGTCAGACTGTTACCAAGGGAGTGGGTTTCTCAGACAGAGTAGATCCTGCAGGGCCAGTCAGGCAGCCTCAAGGCTGGTGGATTCCAAATGAGGTACAGGCCCCAGCCCCTCAAAGGCAAGCCAGCCCTCCAGTAAGGGGGACCAAGGGGAGCGATGGGGATCTAGAAAAAAAGGATGGCTTTCTGCCAGAGTTTCTCAGTTTCTGAAAGAATCTGAGAAACAAAGTGCTTCAGAATTACTTCGGGAGCAGAAGAACAGAGTGCTTGTCAAAAGCATAGGTCCGTGGAAGCCAATCCAGACAATCAGACTCTCCTGAGGTCACATCTTATATCTTTGACAAATGCCGTAGGTGAGTCTTATGCAGAATTTAGTTTAATAAGCATAGGCTGTGATGATAAAACTGCAGTCTTCAACTTCTTTTGTTGTCAGGCTGCTCAAGGCTCTCTGTTGGTCACAGCCCCTTGAACAGAGCTGTCTTGACTGACAATAACAGACCCCCTAGTAACAGAGATCTTGGATTACTTTGTGATGGGAAATTACACCAGAATCTCTTCATATAACATTCCTGGCCAGGCGCAGTGGCTCACGACTGTAATCCTATCACTTTAGGAGGCCAAAGCAGGTTGATCACTTGAGGTCAGGAGTTCTAGAACAGTCTTACCAACATGGTGAAACCCGGTCTCTACTGAAAATACAAAATTAGCTAGGCATGGGGGTGCATGCCTATAATCCCAGCTACTTGGGAGGCTGAGGCAGGAGATTCGCTTGAATCCAGGAGGCCAAGGTTGCAGTGAGCTGAGATGGTGCCACTGCACTTCAGCCTGGGCAACAAGAGCAAAACACCGTCTAAAAAATAAAAACTAAAAAATAAATTATTGAGTGTCAGGCCACATTCTCCGACCTTTGTAAAGTTCCTGAAACAAGGTCTGCAGCTTCAGAAGCTACTGTGTCAGCCTTTAGTGGTAAGGAGAGTACTAGGGCACTGAGGCCGAGGCACCAATCAGATCTTGAGAGTGGCTTTCAGACCCCACGGTGGAAGCACAAAGGCGAAAGAAGGAGAAAGGCCTTTAAAAAACTTGTCAGTCCCACAATATTCACTAGGATCCTAATTCGAGATCGCTCTGCTAAGTGCTGAAGGCATTATACAGCACTCTCATTGAACTGTTATTCAAGTATAGAACTCAAAATAAATTTGTGAGGTGAATTTCTATGAAGTAAAGAAGTTCTCATTAGAAACGTGTGTTCATTAAATTTTTATTTTCCAGCAGGTAAGGCAACCTAAGGAAAACTATGTTCAAAATTAGGGGTTCAGACAGGAAACCCTAGTTATATATACACCAAACTCCAGAATAAAGGCTGAACCGGAACCACTCTCTACCTCCTGGTAATCCCTGACTCTCTTACCCCTTCCCTCCTCTCTGATGATTGTTGGTGAGTTTAGGTCCTAGTGGTAATGTTTCCCTTCGAGGTCACTAACTCTAGGAAGCCCCTGTCCTGTACCAGGCACTTCTGCACACAGCCGGGACACTGCAAGCCCTTGCATCTGTGTGCTGCTGCACTCACAGGTGGGCTCAGAACTCCCGCAAAATCCTAGTAAACACTCCTTCATCCAAAGGGGACAAGTATCCCCTTTGACACATTTTCCTGATAATGATAAACTGAAGGCCTGATACAGAAAGCAGCCTTTAACTCAAAACAAGCAAATGAAAGCCACTTCCAAGGTCTCTTTCCATGATGTCCTTTTGATGCTGTGTTTCCTGAAAGAATGAGAAAAGTCCTCCCCAGTTCGGGGCCCATGAGCAACCACCATTGGGGAAGCGGCATCCAAGCCCCTTGGACATCTCGCTGAGTCACCTTTCCTCTCCCTTCTCTCCTCAGCTCGAATGGAAAATCTGTCACGTGGGCCCAGAACGAGAAGAGCAGCCGGGGGCAGCACCTGTGGCAGCGCCTGTCCATCCACATCAACAAGAAGGAAAACCCCAACCAAACGGCCGTCATCAAGCCCTTCCCCAAGAGCACGGAGAGCCGCGGCCTGGGCGCTGGCGCTGGCGCAGGCGGGAGCGCGGGAGGTATGGGGGCCACGGGCGGTGCGGGCTGCGCAGGCGCCAGCCCTGGCGGGCCCGAGCCCCCAGACGCCGGCCCCAAGGGGCTGTATGATGTGGCCGAGACCGAGGAGCACTTCCCGGCGCCCACGCGGCCGCGCTCACCATCGCCCATCAGCACGCTGAGCCACCGCGCGGGCTCGGCCAGCCGCACGGACGACGACGTGCCGTCGCTGCATTCGGAGCCGGCTGCGCGCAGCAGCTCCTCGCAGGGCTCACTCATGGAGCAGATCAGCAGTGTGGTCACCCGCTTCACGGCCAACATCAGCGAGCTCAACTCCATGATGCTGTCCACCGCGGCCCCCAGCCCCGGCGTGGGCGCCCCACTCTGCTCGTCGTACCTGATCCCCAAAGAGATCCAGCTGCCCACAACCATGACGACCTTCGCGGAAATCCAGCCTCTGCCAGCCATCGAGGTCACGGGCGGCGCGCAGCCCGCGGCGGGGGCTCAGGCGGCTGGGGACGCGGCCCGGGAGAGCCCGGCAGCTGGGCCCGAGGCTGCGGCCGCCAAGCCAGACCTGGAGGAGTTGGTGGCTCTCACCCCGCCGTCCCCCTTCAGAGACTCGGTGGACTCGGGGAGCACAACCCCCAACTCGCCAGTGTCGGAGTCGGCCCTCTGTATCCCGTCGTCTCCCAAATATGACACTCTTATCATAAGAGATTACACTCAGAGCTCCTCGTCGTTGTGAATGTCCCTGGAAAGCGCACCGGCCTGCGCGTGCGGAGCAGAGCCCCCCGTGTTCACACACACAGTGGCAAGCATAGTCGCCTGGTTACGGCCCAGGGGGAAGATGCCAAGCGCACCCCTTGATGGAAACACGAGATCAATAGTGCTATCTCACGACAACCGACGAAGACACCGACGACAAATCTTTTGGCAGATTTTCTTCTAGTGGCCTTAGAAAACATGGGCTTTTAAGAAACACGGCTGATATCTTTGAGGGCTGACAAGGCGTCTGTTCAAACAGTTCCATACCAAGTGCTTTGCTCTAGGAAAGCAGTGCGTGTGAAACAGCGTAACGGAGGGTGAAGAGCATAGTTAATAAGCAACTGTAAAAAGTTTTATTTGTTTACTTTAATTCTTTTCCCAGAAGAGTCTTTGATTCACCAAACATGAATGTACATTTTCTAACAAACTCAAAATCTGGGACCAAAACATCAACTTTTCTCTTTCTTTTTTTCTTTTTGTTTTTTCTTTCCTGTAAAGACCTTGAAAAGCAGTAACATGGGTCCAGTATTTACTGAGGCGTTGTGAATGTGTCCCATGCATAACACACGACTGGATAGTGAGTGCTGCGCTAATGTACTACGTAGGGCTTCTACGAGAGATTTTCCTCTCCAATTGGGTTGTGAAATACTCTTCCAAAAGCCTGCATCGGGGATTCCACCTACTTATTTCAGATTCACCTCCATTAACCAAGAAAACCAGTGGAAGATTTCTTGACTATTTCACCATGTTGCCAATCAATACTGGAGTAGCAAAAAAATATTTTCTGGAATACTGTTTTGTAATTCCCTCACTGGGGTGCATTGTAGCTGGAAATTCTCTTTATAATCATTATTGAGCTCCAGCCTGGCTATCTCTTTCAAGAAACATGGCCACTCCTCTTTAGGAATGCTGTTCCGTTTGCATTGCCAACTAAAATATTAAAATATGCATTGGGGCTTCTTCATTCCTTTATTTTGAGAACCTGATGCACAAAGAGCTCCTTTGTTCTTTTTGAGTCCCACCACTGGAAGAGTGGTCCATAGACCCCATGAAGACATTGTCACGATTTGAGAGACTGTTGTTGAAAGGATTAACACAATCTTAATACACTGAAAATTGTAAACTGTGTCAAGTCAGCTTAGTGGAGATTTAGTTATGCCAGTGAACAGTGATTTTAACTATTCTTGGCTGCTTAAACAGGGCAGCTATGAACTATGACAAATGTAGATTTTTCAAAGCAATACAAAATACTAAAAAAGAGGAACCTTAATGAATATTAACCACACAGTCTTTCTTAGCCATTCCAAAAAGAGGCAAAGCAATTCTTATTTTCTTTTTTTAAATAATGATTAATATTATTTTGTGCACTTCATACTGTCACTTTTTAAAACTGCAGAAAAGAGATTTAGAGGTATAATAGAAACAAGTGTGCTTTGATAGTCTCAAATAGGTAGAATTCATAGTTCAAGACCTGAATCCACTGTCATCTTTTTCTTCCTCCCATTGCAGCTATCCTCAGGTACCAAATGTTTTGATTTTTAAATAAGGATAGTAATAAATGGAGGAGGTGTCCTATAAATTCAAAGTTCAGTTGACCCAGCCTTATACTTAAGATAGCCTTATGAAAAATATATGCTGTGAGGCAGAAGTATATTTTGGCAGAGAGAAAAATAAATAAAACTTTTTCTTTTAACTCAATATCCTTATTTTGGTAAGTAATTTTTTTTTTATTTCGCATCTACTTAAAAGAAACTAAACTGAGAAATAGAAGTCAGTCCATTGGCATAATTTATCATTCTTCACTTTAAAAAATTCTAATAAATATTGTGCTTGAGTTTTCTTTTCTGCTATTTGTTCTTACTTGCAACTTTAAGTCAAACCTCCCAATACAAAACATTAAAAGCTAACATTCATGTACTAAAGTATTAATTTACAAGAAATCGAACCTCCCATGCTAGATTTGAAAATAACATCATCACAGCACCCTGATCCCAAATATTATAACGAGGCTTTTAAAATGTAAGTGAAATCCAGCTAAGTTTCATGGTTTCATTAAAAGCTAATGTCTGCCTCTACCTGAAAAACAAATGGAAATCTTTTGAAGTATTAATACCCTTTGGATCCTTATAAAAACGATGGCATTCACCTGAGGATTCCTATCTTGACTTCTTAGGTATTAAAAACCTTTCTCGATATGCTCTACATTTTAAAATTTGTTTCATAAAATCCTTATGTTGATTTTCATTTTATTCTCAAGTACAATACGTTTCACTCTAGACCAATAGAAGAACATGTTTAAACTTTGTTCATGGTCAAATTCATTTTCTATGTTTTAGTAACATGGCTCTTAAAAAGTACACTACCTTATAAAAAAAACTACATTTGAAATTAAATTTAATGCAAGTAAATTGCCATCTGATAATTCCACATGCTATCATAATCAACTGTAATAATAAAAATGATTTATCCAATTAGAAGAAAACAAGATATATTTTTCTCTGTATTTCTACAACTTTTGCCACTTCATTGACTACATTGTATATTGGACATCAGATTATTAGTAATGCATTCTTGAGATCTTTTATTTTGGAATGATGCTAACTCTGTCTCTTTGCCAATTCTAATACCAGGTTCCAAGTAATAACTCTACAGTACAAAGAGAACTGAATATTCATTCTAGGGCTATAGGATATGAACTTCACAATTCATTTGGGTACATTCTCATTGAATTTCCTTCAAAACAATCTGTTCCTGGTGCCCAGTGATAATTCAGTCGGGACCAGCATGACTAAAAGGAAGGGGATATGCTAAGGCTCAGCAAAGTGACCCTAAAGGAGAGATATGTCCCAGGATGGAAAGAAGAAGATGTGGTTTAACCAAGTTATACTGACTAATCTAATCAGTCCATTCGTCCTTCTATTTTGGGAAAGGAGAGGGGACAGCCTAAGAAGAACATATCTGCATTGGGAAGAACCATCTTTCCGGGCTAGGGATGGGGAACAGAAAGGGAGTATGGAAAGAAAAATTTAAGAGATTTGACTGAAGCAAGGAAAAAAAAGCAAATCCCCAAATGTGCTAATCCTTGAAAGTAACTATCTTTCCCAAACTACTGCTGTTACCAGCAAGTGATCAGGAAGACTAGGAGCTATTTCTGACTGTAAATGAATTGTATAATGGCTCTGCTGCAGTTCTGTGACTTCCAAGCCAGGAATTAAATGCTCTTTTTAAGAATAACAAAAAACAAAAGCATTTCCTATGGTAGTCTCCCAGTAAAATGTACATGTTTTGGAGACTTCAAAGGTATTATATGAGTTCACATTTAGCAACAGCTTATTAATAACCCTCAAGCTGTCAGAATCTCTATAGTTACCATTTACAATTTTATACTGTGAAAAAATACAGATCAGTGAAAGCATAAAGATAAATCAGAATTCACTTTGAAGAGGGCCTGAGGCCTGGGAGAGTCTCTACTGTCTATTGAAGAATGAGGCATGTATAAAATAGTTGGTTGAATTTCACTGATCTTCCCAATGTGAACAAATATACTATGTATATTGTGTGTATTTCTAGAAATCAATGGCAGCTGCTGATGGTGTTGTAATTAGAAATCTATATAGATTATAGATGTTTTAGAAAGATGGTGCCAATCCTAAAAGATTTGTGTGGGCTAAAAGTGCTTGTACTTACTTTTTTCTGCACTTATAACTGATTTGGTTTTAAAATTGTGTGCGTGTATCTGTTCCTTCTCTGTTGTGGCAGCTTGTACTATTAAAATAATAGAGAATGTTAAATTATTTTGATGTGAATTGCAAATGATTTTTTTTCATAAAGTTTAACATTTTTATCAGCATTGTTTTGCTTTGTACTTGTATAAATATGTTTTATTTTAGCACTTCAAAATATACTTGCCTGTTTCTCAGTTGTCTAAATCATGTTGTACTTGGTGTTTGTGAAGCCAGTTACTTTTCAAAAAACATTAAAAAAAACTGTAATATGATTTTAAGATTATTCCCCTCAAATGTTTAGAATGTTGTCTTAATAGTGTTTTCTAAGATGAAAATAGCCATGATACTCATTAATCTTGAATACTGGATGATCTATACATTGGAATTATGGGGTTTACAAAGTAAGCAGTGGACTATAGATTTAAATGAAAATATAAACCAACCACTAATCAACCAGAGATGTTGTCCCCAAAGACATCTACAAACAACTGTTACATAAAGAACTACTTTTTTAAAAAAAAGGAATGTAGGAAATATGCATTACTTGTCTAGACATACAAATTATAGAAATAGTTTCATAATTATCTGTGTTGATAGAGGTAACATCACAGAGATAAAATAGATTATTTGTGTGTGTATAGATGTGTGTCTACAAACACACATTTATATAGACATTTGACTTTTGAGTCCATCTACATGTGTGTCTCTGTGTATATGTGTGTTTATGTGTATATGTATGTGCATATTACATAATTTTTCCAGAAAAAAAAAACTTTTTCCTTTGACTGATTCTTAAGCAAATATACATTCCCTGGACACAAATTAGTGAAAAACTAACAGCAGAATATAAAGTAGATGTTTGATGTATGGAAGAGAAAAACAAGGTATATTTAAAAATATATTTGCTCTATGCTTCTGACATTGTATTAAATCCATAATGAAAGATATACATATGTAGATACATATATTATTATACAAAACATGTTTGATCTTAACAAAGAAAACCATTTTATCTGTTCTGTCAGACTCTTCCCTTCAGTATCTTTTATTCTAAAGTGATATGAATGGTAATATGTTCATATAAAATTGAGGATGAAGTGACATTTACAAACCAGGTACAGGAAATTACCTTCTAAAAATCAGAAGAGCCTTATCAGACTCCATCAAATTATGGAAGGCCATTTAAAACCAGCAGATGCAATAGAAATAGCATTGAATTAAAAGCCAAGATCTCTTACCCTGTCACCAACTGACTTTGGATAAATCACTCTGATTTCCCTACAACTTGCTCCTCTTTAAATGCAGAACTGAGTTACAATAACCTGTGAAGTTCTATCATTTCAACATTCCTGATAAATGCTCAATAGTAGCTATTATTAGTGGCAATGTAGTATTTAATATACAGTTAATATTCAGCAGGAAGCTTAAATTTGTTATATCAATGTTATTTGTGGAGCTTAACAAGTTCCGCACAACTTAAAGCATATATCCTGGAGGAAACCTGTTGAGGTTTGAACTCATATGCAACCTTGGAATTGTCTATCAAGGACAACTTAGCAAATTGATATTGAACACCACAGAAAGAATGCTTTCCCTCTGTTATAATTTCTGCTGAATGTTGGCCAAGTTTTTGGTTATGCTATACATGAATTATCAGTTTTAGAACATAAACAATTTTCAAATATTTACTTTGTATGATAGCTAGGCAGATAGGTAGGTAAATAAATAGATAGGCAGAATTATATTAATGAAATTATCTCCTGAAGCAAAAGCTTAGTATTTACATTTTCTCTCACAGTATTTTGAAATTTAGAATCAATTATTACATCTCACTTTGTTTATTAATTTTAAGTTATTATGTTAGTAAATAAGTTCTATGAGGAGAATGTTTAAACTCATCTTCTCCAGTCATTCTTAGAATCCTGAACCAAAAGTTTCCAGGAACACTGAACCTCCACTAGAATAAATATTTTAAATTACTGTTACACCAGAACAAAGACATTTCTTTCAAAAGGACATAAGTCTCTTTGAGTTATGATCTATTTACAGGATAGCTATGCGATATACATATCAGATACTTTGGCTTATTTATGTATAGCTTGTATTTTTATTCACTGATGTAAAAAATATTTTCATACTATCAGATTTCTATGAGATAGATGTTATATTATAAATTATACAAATTATATGTCCATGAAAACCACATAAAATTGGCTTTTCTGAACTGCTGAATAGTAATAGATGATTCATAAAAGTTATTAGAGTCTTAAGAGTTTGAAAAATGTAATAACTCCAAGTTAAATGGCTATCTTCACTTCAGAACTTACCAATTTATAGTATTCCAATATCCATTACCTTTGCTAATGAAGCTGTCTCCTCAGAGTAGAGTTTCATGAAAAGTATTTTGGAAATGCTATGATATAAAAGTTATAATTTATATACACTTTTTCTTTTAGTTTTCAAAATTCATTGCCATTTCCATGATGATCTCCTTAGGCCTTTAGAGAAGTAAACACAGATTGACAGAGTTACAACATTATCTTCAGGAGCCATTTTATTGAACCATCGGAAGTCTTACTCAATTTTATTATTCATTCTCTTCCCATTTTTTGATTTCTTAGGCCTCTGTCAGCACATTTACTTTACTTTAATGGGTCAAGCTGAGGGAGTTCTTTTACAATTTATGTTCTTTCATTTTGGTTCAAAACGTTGGGTAGTTTCCTTAACTTCAACATCCTCAGATGAAGCAATATGTGAGATACAGCATTAATAGATGTTGCCTAACCAGTGAAATGTATTCCAAAAGCAGTAGAAGTCTATCAGCATATTATCTAGAAGCTATTTTTAGAAACTCTTTCTAATTTAAAAACATAAGAGCAAAACTACATGAACACATCTATAACACATACCACATAAATGCATTTCTACTCTTGCGTATTTAAGATAATGACTTTAGCCCTTTACTTCCCTATGTGTGTGGTACTCTCTATCACATATTTTCTGAAGAGTTTAAATCCCATCATTAGCCCTAGTAATTCATCTTATTCTTCAAAGAGTCATGAAACAATCTAAATGTATACAGAGAAAAAAAGATCTTGTTTTGGGAAGACAAGTACCCACTCTAATAACCCGAGACAACTTAGCGACAAAATCAGGAGAACATCCTAGCTAGTTCTATCCAGCCTGTATGAAAGAAGTCAGTGGAAATGCTTTTGTATTCTTTGTCTGGCTATAACAAAAAGCACCAAATTTGGTCGGGTGACTCATCCCTATTAATCCCAGTACTTTGGGAGGCCAAGGCAGGCAGATTACTTGAGCCCAGAAATTCAAGTTCAGCCTCAGCCACATGGTGAAACCCTGCCTCTACATTAATTACAAAACTTAGCTGAGCTGAGATCATGTAACTCTGTCTCAAAAGCAACAACAACAACAACAACAACAACAAAATTAGAAAGAATGAAAGAAAAAGACATACACAAAAGTCAATTCCTAAAGAATAAGACTACGATACAACCATTTACAACCATTTCTGATTGACAAAGCACAGGTCAGGAGTGCAAGAAACATGTGAGTGATGACCACAGGGCCAACAAACAGACTTAAATGCCCAAATAAATTAAAGAAAGTTAAGAAGCACTCAGAAAAAGAATAATGCAACCATGTTCTTAAGTGATGGTATTTGCTGAACCAGCACTATCAGTTAACCATTTCTGATCTATACAAAGCATTTAAAGGAGCAAATGATAAACAAAGGCAGTTGTAAGAATATTAATGTCCAATAAGAAATAATTCAAAATAAAAGCCATTAAAAGGATTAAAAGAAGTATTTAAAATTGATAAAAATCTACACAGAAGATAGAACAGTGATGAACCTGTATGTGCTTAAAAATAGGGCTTCAAAACCTATAAAACGAAGATTATTGGAAACACAAGAGGAAAAAAAAAATCCAAAATCACAATGACTCACTTTAATATATTTAACTTGCAAATACATCAAGAAACCAAAAGAAAAAAAAATCTATGTAATTAAGTAACACAAATAGCAAGAATAATCAAACAAATCTACTTAGAGGTTTGTTCCTATTAACAGAGGACAGACATTCTCTTTATCATCATTAAAATATTCATAAATATTAACCTTGGATTAAACCAGAAGGAAAATTTGAACAAATTCCAGGAAACAAAAATTAAACAGGCTACATTCACTGACTAAAAGATAAGAAATCTTAAATTTAAAACAAAAGTTTTCCAAAAGAAATATGTTCACTTACAATCTCTCTTTAAAGATAGCTTTCTGGAATGAAGAGAAAAACTTAACTAAAATCACATCCTGTTTATAAATGAACATCGGTGACAATTCTGTATATTAAAATCTGTAGAACAGCCAAAGAGTACTCAAAAAATGTTTTATCATAAATGTATGTTTTTAAGAAGACTGAAAACAAATTAAACATTCAACTGAAGATGTTGTAAAATAAATAAAAAGTAAATATAAATAATTCATATTGAACAAATCAAAATAATACAAGCAAATATTTTAAAAATTTAAAAGTAACCATTAAAACCAAAGGCATCGACTGGATAAAGAAAATGTGGCACATATACACCATGGAATATTATGCAGCCATAAAAAGGATGAGTTCATGTCCTTTGCAAGGATATAGATGACACTGGAAACCATCATTCTCAGCAAACTATCACAAGAACAGAAAACCAAACACACTCATAAGTGGAAGCTGAATAATGAGATCACATTGACGGAGGGAGGGAAACATCACACACCAGGGCCTGTCAGGAGGTGGGGGACTAGGAGAGGGATAGCATTAGGAGAAACACCTAATGTAGATGATGGGTTGATAGGTGCAGCAAACCACCATGGCCCGTGTATACCTATGTAACAAACCTGCACGTTCTGCACATGTACCCCAGAACTTAAAATATAATAAAAAAAATTAAAAAGGTTAGACCCAAGTAACCATGATAGCTCTCCTCCACTTTTGATGGAAATAAAATTAGGGCAAACAATTTTGGTCTTCTGAGATAAACATTATAAAAACTAAAACAAAATGAAATAGTGTCCAAACACAATTAAGGCTCAGTAATAATAGTTCAGTGTGAGAAAAATTATTGATGTTATTTATCACATGAAAATACACAAGTACCTCAATAGATTTGGAAGGGAAAAAATAAATTTGACACAGTTTTTGAAAAAGTCGTCTATTTGAAAAGACCCACATGTTAACATTTATCAAATCTAATTGAGTAAAAGAAA